GGGTCGGAATAATAGTTGGTAATCGTCACCCGCATGTGATTATGCGGTCTGTGGGGAAGAAAATAGTTGTCATCCGCATCGGTGGTGGCTGGTTTTCTGCTCCCTCTAGTTCAGGTAGGCTGCCGTCTCTTCCATGCTTCCCTGAGGTTGGTGTACATCGCGTCCAATTCGACGTAACTGTTGATGTACGATTCGTCGGAGCTGATGGCTTCTAAAAACTCGCAGTCTCTCTTGAATGGACAAAAGCCAACAATGCAAGTTTCGTCTCATGCAAATTGGTGTCCTGTTTATAATGTGTGCATGGCGACTTCGGACAAGTAAGCTTTCTCCTCCCCACCGCGTACCTCGCCTTCTTTTATCGACCCCTCCCCCCCCTTATTCTCACGACTTACTTGTATACAAAGAAGAACATTATTGACCACATGTTTTCACATGTATTGGCCCGATGAAAATTTATCCAAAGCTAACCCATGATCAGGCATTAATTGGAAAATATTTCTCATAAAGAAGAAGGGTCATCCTTAACTTGGTGACTTTCCTCCACCGACTATACCGTCATCTAGTAGTCGGAGGTGTCCACTTCATATTTGTTAATACTCCTGCCTTTTTATTACTTGTTGCTATGCCGTCGCTCCAAGTCAGCCTTCTGTGTAAATGGGGCTATCTGCGTTCTTTTCAGGAATCTGAACCGCCACTTCCAAAATACCTATTTCCTCCGTGCCTTCTAGGTGAACAACGCCAGTGCAGACCCGTACTAAGTCTTTTAAACTCGAGCGAGTCTTTCAGTGTCAAAAGCCACGTCCCTATTAGTCCCTAAATACTTGTCATCTCATCCGTAGTTATGCGACCATAAGCACTAAACGTTAAGTTGAACTACTGTGCGTAAGGCCATTTACTAGTTACACACCCATGTTCCGTGCTATTTTTTATTCCTCCCTACTCATCTATTCCTCAGTAGCATTTGCAGAAATAACCTTTATTTCATTCACCATGTTCAAAAGCTTTACTCGCAGTCGCGTTGGGCTTATTTTAGCTTTATCTCAGAACTATTCATTTTCCTGAAGCTTTGTAACTGTTCTTGCTCTTACCAATGCGGCTTGTATCAGACTTCAAGTGACCCAAGGCGTTCATATATTCATACCGAAAAGCGTAGATATCATCCCTCTGTTTCTTTTTGGCTTCTATGCTTCCTTCTACGTGTGCTAGTGCACTGTTACGAGGCTCAGGTGTCGACCACTTTCCGAGTTCATGGCTTAGTCGCTTCCTGTTCTTTCAAATTCGACAATATTAGCCCTCCGAAGAGGTGTTTCGGGGCCTTTGGTCCAGCAAATGTTGGCTAAATACATCGTCCCTCTTTTTTATCGCCTCAATCCCCTTGAACGCAAGAACACCAACCACCGGCAAGGTCAAGGTGTTTTGAACAGTTGCAAAGTGGCCATCTGTTTCGTACTTTTCTAATAGCGCCCCCCCATCGCCTTCTTCCCAATTGATCTCAGGTCCTGTGGGAATTACCCCCCTCCCCCTATCAGATTTTAAAAGCAGTGTCCTAAGCCCACCCAACATACTGTACAGCGACGAAGCAGGAACCGCTAACTATCGGACACCTTCGCCCCCTCCCCCTCCGTCAGCCCCTGATAGGACTTCACTATAACCTCTGCACGTTCTCAGCCCTCTCTCTCATACTTACTGTTTATTGAATGTTTAAGATTTTTTAAATTTACCCTCCCTTATATTAATGTAAAGGCCTGATTATAAATAATCGAAAGCGTGCCTTCGTCAAATTTACTTATTCTCGCTAGACACGAATTTGTGGTATTAAGTTCTCCTGGCTGATACATTCCATGAGTCAAGCAAGCTTCTCCCTCCCCCCTTACTATAAACCCCTGGACTCCCAATTTTTTTAATGATACTAGTAGCCGGCACCACACTGTGATTTTTTTCTGGCTCCGCTCAAANTCCCTTCTCTCCGTATGCAAAAGCTGTTGCTAGATCATGCACGTTTTTGCGCGAATCAAGTGTTTATTTGTATAAGTGTGGCTTCGGCCTCCTGACT